TGTGTGTGTGCGCTTGTGTGTGTGGGTGTATAAAACAACGGCTTCCAACATGAGTCAGCCTATCAAAAAAGTGAGAACTATCAGCTTTCAAAACATGAATACTGTTGTCAGATGAAGGGTTTTCCAAAACTCATGCAGTCCACTATCAGCCGAAAAATGCTGTGTTTGGTTTGATTTTGACCCCAAAAGTTGAATAAATTAGTTTTGGAAAACTCTTCATACAGCAGTGAAGCAGCTGGCAGGGTGGACCTCATGTAGCCTAGTAGCCTGGTTGAAAGCTCCTAACCAGAGCAATGCTATCGTTGCTCTTCTCTGACACGAATGTTTCTAGGATTATCAAGAATGTTTACATATGGACACCAATCTGTTGTATTTTTTTGCTTTATAGGCTAGCACACTTTGCACAATTCTTTACTGTCCCGGTGCTAAAGGTTGTGACATGGTTTAAAATGCAAGGCCTTTACTGTGCTGTTTTGCACAGGCAGTATAATCTTGGAAAATGTACAGTGTATTATTAGTAAGTAAGTAAATACTGTGAGTGCCAATATCTTTATTACAGATCACCCTAATATGTATTCATTGTTTATATAAAGTTTTGAAATAGAGCAGCATATATCTATTCGTGTTCGCCATTAAGATATGTGGTGAGATATGTAATACTTTGACGGTTAAGACTGCAGGCAGCACTCATGGACTTCAATGTCGAACGATAATCTGTGTGACAACATTCTTAACGGATTGTGTTGTGTCTTCTCAAATAAAGAGTTGGTGTTTGAAGTACAGTGTTGTTGCAAGGACATGTTTTTTTATGACAGAAACGATCCATTTTATGAGATAATGCCCATACAACGTGTTGTGATTTGGTCAAGAGTTGCAACTTGGGTCAAACATAAATCCTTTCCGCTATTATTGGTCTCTTCTAGTAGTTAATAATGTAAAATTAAGAGTAAACCATTCCTTATGTTGCCGGGAATCCCATGGAGCTGCATTCAGGAGACTTTTGTATTTAGCAGGCCTCACAATGTGGCAGTAGCGCTATAATCATTTGGACTGCATACTGTATTGACACGTGCTTTAAAATTACAAAGTTGCTCTCCATGTTTGCTTTACAAGGTTTGAGGTCTGCTGTTAATTATACACACAGGCAGTGCCCCCCCTGAGTGCTTTGAAGGAACAGGCTGGTTATTGGTATTTATGAGCAACAGAGATGTAAGGAAGTTGTGTTGATGGTGTTTTGAGTGGTGCGGTGGGCCTCACAAACAACTGCATTCTGCTCCAGTCTGCTGAAAACAAATTTAATACTTCAGCCTTTTAACGTTGTGAATAAGGTTGAGTGAACACTTTAAGGCTTTGAGTGGAAGGAATTAAAATGTCACAAGTATCCACAACTTGTTCGAATGCCAACTGACGTAAATCACGTAACACTGCAAAGTACAGTAGGACAGTTTCTCTTGTGGTTCCACACAGTCAATAGATACTTTGAACTCACTGATTACACTCACAATGAGGCAACACAAAGGACACACAGCCCCAAAAACCTTTAGCCCACATTGTATGTTTCCATGAGAGGGGAAATCCCTGGTTTTCTCATTTAGGTAAACAGACTATTGGCATCATCTGTAGGAAAAAAAACATTAATGTAGCATTTTATCAGAATCAGAATCAGA